ATGTGAATGTTGGCTGTAGCAAGTATAGGACTGCCAGTTGGAGGAGGACGCTGCCACTGAAAACATAGAACAGAAACTCTTTCCCACATTCCATACGATATGGCCTCCTCCCTACCTATAATAACAGGTTCCCACCCTGTGCAGATGATCTACATAGGTGAAGAAAAAGTTACAGTGAATTAATTTTTTCCTTCTCCCTTACTCCAAGGCTTAATAATATCTGATGTTGCTCTGAGACAAGTTCATTTCTCAGAGTCTTCCAGTTGTCATCTATTTGTTGGTGATTCCCATATCTCAGCTCTTCTTGTTTAGCTCCAAGCACATACACACACACACACACACACACACACACACACTCACACACTCAGTTATCCGCCAGACGTGTCTTCTCAGAAATATCACTTCAGAGCTAGTGGGTTCCAAAACTATATTTAGTTAATTTTTCCCTACCATATCTGACCTTCCTTTTTTTTTCTCATTGTTTTGTTTAATATTATTTTTTCCACCTTTATTGAGATTGGTGTTCTATTTTATGCTTTATTTCAGTTGAGACATAAAAAATCTTTTTCTTATTCAGAAAATAAGGAGTTTTCCATGGCTTCTGGCTTATTTCTCAGTTTACTTTGGTTCGATGGATTCTAACTCTTCATTGTGCCTCAGAAATGCTTACTCTTTGTTCTCACAAACATCGATCAGGCTACCGTTATATGTGGATTCTGGAGTAGTCACAGAGTGGTTTATCTGTCCTATTTAAATCCATTTTCTATACTTCAGCCAAAATATCTGTTAAATTCAGATTTCAGTTGGTCATAAAATTCTTCAGTCTTGCTTACCTGGGTATATCTTAAACCCAGAATAGTGCTTTATATGTATTGGTGTTTTATTTGTCAAATTATTGAGTGTGTGTCTTGTGGTTAGTGGGAGGAGAGGCAGGATCAGTCCTTTTCTTCCAAAATTAATTAGATGCAAGACTAATAGTGTCACAGGTGTACCAAGAGTGTTTGAAAAGATTTATTACTCATACAGTGAGAATTTCTGGGGAGAGCAGGGTAGGCACCCAAGCTGATGCAGAATGACTTGTGTGAAAGGAGCTGTGGGTGGCTCTGGTTTTCAGTGTGGTTAGGAGATGGGCCAGGTTGAGGGTTCTCATTTGGTGGCTTGGTTTGCAAGATTTAAACTTCTGTTGCCAAGGGAGGAAGACTATCTAACATGAAGCTTTGCTACTAAATAAAACTAAAAAAGCATTGTTTGTATTACAGAAAAGTCAAAAGGAATATAAAGAGCATAAGCACATATTGTATCACGTAATGGAGGATGATAGTAATCCATTGGTTTATCACCTTTCAGATATTTAAGTGTATTTTTTAGCTTTAAAGATATAGTCATATTTTTAATTTGTAATCTGCCTCTCCTTCCTGTATGATGAGATGAATTTCTAAAACATCATATGTAATACTTTATTTGGTTTGTTTTTTTTTTTTTTGGTACCGGGGATCAGGACCTTGCACTTGCAAGGCAGGCAGCAGCACCACTGAGCTAAATCCCTGGTCCTGTAATGCTTTGATAAGTGCTAAATACTGATGCTTTTCCCTCTCTTCCTAATAGTCTGTTCCCCTTCCTTGTCTACTGGGCTTTCTTAGTAACTATCATAGTTATTCTACCATTTTTACATTCATTAGAATAAGCTCATTCCCATCCCCATTCATTAAGGCTATTTTAAAAAATTTCAGTATACAATGAAAAGTACAGAAAATCACACATACACACAAAATGTAGAAAGAATTCTGTTGGTATTTGGAGTTAGGCACCTTTTTGCCAATTGTGACAGTGCTGCTTCTGTTTCAGCAACCCAGATGTGCACTCAAAATACCATAGATTATTGCCTTTGAGTCTCAGTCGTGGCCTTAGCTGTCAGTTCTGGCTTGGGGTGCCTAACATCATCTTCCTTCACAATATTTACATGTACATATACAAATAACCAAATGGTTTTGTAGAAGATATTTTTCTTGGTTAAGTTACATACATCATAATGTTCATTGCAGAAATCAAGAAAATATAGGTACTCTAACCAAAAAGGAGAAGAAAAATCCTGATTCTAAATTATGAACCTATGTTGGTGCCCTCCTGATTTTTTTTTTCTGTGTGTATCATACAGTGTTTTTCTCCCATAAAAGGGATAATTCTGTATTTGCTGTTTTAGACACCCACTTGTTTTTCTTCAGTTAACATCTAGCACTTTTCAGTAGAAGAAATATTTTTCTTTTAAGGTGAAATGCAGCTTATATGTATACTAATACTTCCCATTGAAATTCAGAATCATAGAGATTTTGATAAAATTGCTCTTAAATCTTTAATGCTGAATTGCTCTTATATCTTTACCTCCTTTTTCCTGAGGTGAAATTTTTTTCAAAAACACCAATATAATAACTCATTCCATTTATATTCATATATACAGAATCATTTTAGAATAATAATCTCAGTGCTGTGACCTCTAATAAATTACTAAAAATAATTGAGGATTTTCCCTTTGTTGATTTTATAATATTTTCTTTCTGAGCATTATGCTATCACACTGATACATAGTTCATTTTTGTTTTTTACTTACAGAGTTTATTGCAGTATTTTTCAACATGTGGAAATAAAATTGTCATATAGTTGTTTTATGTATTTATGGGTTACAATGTGATATTTCAATACAATATGTAATGGTTAGATCAGGGTAATTGGTATGTCCATCACTTCAAACATTTATTATTTCTTTGTGTTGGAAACATTCAAAATCGTTTTTACTGTCTTGAAATATATAAGTAAATGTTTTCAACCAGTGTTACACTTTTGTGTTACAGAACATTAGAAGTTATTCCTATGCAGCTATCTCTTCTGTTAAGTATCCTTTCTCCATCTACTCCCTTCTTTTGCAGCCTCTGATAACCACTACTGTATTCTCTACTGATATCAGCATTTTTAGTGAAGCATTATTTTTAAGATCAAACAATTAGATCAAACCCAGTGTTTTTTTCTCCAGTTAAAACCTTGCCATGTCTATAGTTTTAATTATCTAAGCCCCAAAGAGTATTCCATTGTATGATTATACCATATTTTCTGTGTAACCATTTTTCTGATTTTAGACATTTAGACTGTTTTGACTTTTTGCTGTTCCCAATAATGTGAACAATGCAGCAATGCCCACATTTTCACGAACAGTTTTGTCTATTTGTCTGTTTCTAATGGATAAATTCTTAGGAAGGAGCAGTTTGCCTTTTTATAAAAGGCTTTAGCTAAATTTTGGTAACTGAATTCCAGAAAGTATGGATTTAGTCCTATCTCCATTATAGATGAGCACAGTGGTACCTTGGTTTATGAACTTAATTTGTTTTATGCTTTTAGGGAAGATGGCTGTATTTGTGTTTGTATGGGTAAGGTAGTTGTGGTAATGTTTGTCACCTGATGGGAAGTTTGCAAATGGAAGCAAAATTTTGTCGAATGCTATTGTTTGTGAACCAAATTGTTTGCAAATAGAAGCATTGGTGTGAACTAAGGTATTATTGTACTACATTCCTCCCATTTGTGATAAATCACCATTGTTGTTAGCATTTTTTCCTAGTATTATATTTGTTGGCCATTTATTTTATACTGGTAAGTTGCTGTACCCTTTGCCAATATTTTATTCACCTTCATCTTTTGTTACCTTGTTCGTCTTTTTTTCTTGGTTTTTAGGGAGCCTATGTATTGCAGATAGCAGATGTTTTCATGATGGAAAGAGGTTTCAAAAATAGCTCTTTCTTGAGCCGAAGTTAAGTAATTATCTAGAGATTTTTAGAAAGATAATTTTAATTCCAGTTGCTTTTAGTCCTCAGAGGGTCCAAAAACTATAATATTTTGATGGAATACTTGATGTGAAATAATTCTAATTTTATTTATATTTTGTGTAGTTAACTAGATATCCCCCATTCTGTCAGGGTTTTTCATGACCATAATTTCACTTATAAATTGTGTTTTTGTGATTATTTTACTTATTTATATACAATAAGAACAGGCTTTACCATATTGGATTAGTTCTTAGATTGCAAAGATCCCCCAGTGGCCTATAAGTCAAACTGAATTCAGTGATAACTCGTACCTAATGAGTTAATTTGGGCTGATTCTTCACTTTTTTCAATTATCCATGTTATCAGAGAAGTTGTTGAAAGCATGGACACAGAAGCTAGACCTGTGTTCACATCCTGTTTTGGTCAGGGATTTAGAATTTGTGTGGATTAGTTTGATCACATATAATACAAGGATCATGTTAATCACCAATAGGGTTATTTTGAAAATTAAAAAAGGAATTCATATTTATAAAGTGCTTAGAAAAGTATCTGCCATATTAGTGAGCACTGTGTATGTTGTTTTATAATGAAAATAAGCATCTATTGGGAAAGAATCCTAGAAAATGTGATGACTAAGAGAAAGGTGTTACAAATAGTTTAAATAAACCAGTTAGTTCATTGTTAGCCAGCTTTCTGTCACTGTAAGAAAAGGTCTGAGATAATCAACTTAGAAAGATAAAGGGTTTGTGTTAGCACACAGTTTTGGAGGTTCCAGTCCATAATTGTTTGGTCCCTTGGTTTTGGACCTGTGGCAGGGCAGCACATCATGGTGGGAACACATGGCAGAGTAGAACCAATCACTTCATGACCAGGAAGCAGAAAAGAACGAGGAAGGGACCAGGGACCAGCATCCCTGCAAGGGTGTTCCTTCAAGGACCTGACTTCCTTCCACCTCCTATAGAGTCCACCACCTCCCAGTGATGTCATCGTGGAATAAAGCCTTTAACACATGGGACTTTGATGGACATTCAATATCTGAACTGTAGTTGAATTGAGTTTTTTTAATTTAAAAAATATTTTATTCTTAATGCAAACATTGAATAAATCCATGTTATCATATTGATGATGTTTTCAAAACTAATAGTTAAATCCTTGAGCTATTACACTGTGTTTTACTGCTTTTGTTTACAGGATATTCTGAATAATCTTGAATCATGTGACCTTGAGGATGATGATCTTATGCTTGATGTGGATCTGCCTGAGGATGCACCTCTTGACAATGGTAAGTTGGAATGATATTGAGCCTCCAGAGGTGTATACAGTACTTGAGCCATTTGGCTGTAGCCAATTTGATATTTGTTACTTGCAGACTTTTTAATCTCAATGGAGCCTTTCAGACTGAGAGTCAGTCTTAGGTAATGTGAAATAGGTTCATTTGCAAATTAACTGTTTTAAAAGCTGATTTTGTAGGTCATAGATATAACTGTATGGTCCAGTGACATCGTATACTTTGTTTTTCCAAAATTCTGTGTGATATAATAACATTATATACCTATCCCATAAAGTAAATGAGAGATGGGATTTGTCTTTTTTTCCTATGTACATACCAGTTTTTCCTTTGTTTCATTTTGATTTTCAGGAGAATACAAGTAGAGAAACATTTGACTTTTGAAACAGTATAACTAAATTTTATAAATATTTTAGGAAGATCAGTTCCAGGAAAGTGGTGACGTTCTGAATGAATCCTTCTGCCCTTTTTACTCCTACTTCCACTCTGTCTTCTTCTCTGGATCCCATTAACTGCTTGAGTGGGCTTTAGATAATCTGTATGCAAGAGGACGAGAGTTTTCTTGCCCCTAGTGATATAGCATCCGTGTTAAGGACTGGTGCAGGACTAGAGCTGAGCATGGCCACATCCTTGTGATAAGAGTTGAAATGGGGATTCTTCTGGAAAAGAATGGGCCTGGAGATCTGAAGATTCTCTGTCATTTAGCATTTGCCTGGTCTCCCTTCTCTGTCATTTAGCATTTGCCTGGTGTCCCAGGCCTCCCTAGGATAAACTAAGTGGGATGAATGAAGTCCTTTTTATCTGTGATGTTAGAAAACTACAAGGATTTTTCAGAAAGGATGTTCCAGTGTTTCATTGGGCCATTAGGAAGCTACTTTACCCTTTACAACAGCTCCTATTTGTCATATCGTTTGGGGTTTTTATTTTTCCTGGATATGTTATAATCAGTCTCAAAAATAAATATACATTTTTAAAAAAATTCATGGATCTGTGGTTTAGCTGGGACAACTCAGACTGTGGAATTAGGTTTAGGGCACTCTATGCTGCTTCATTTTGAAAGCAGGACTGCTTGGGACAGATGGTTCTCATGGCAAATGACAGAAGTGCAGAAGGATAAGCAGAACCATGCACATTGCATCTCCTACTTGACTTACAAACACCATACTGTTATGTCCCCTGTTTAATTGGTCAGAGATGGTCCCATTTGCCCAGCCTAACATCTCTCGGACTATTCATAGAGAAAAGCTCTGCAGTCATAGGACAGAAGACTTTGGATGTATAATTCTGTTAAAGAAACAGTAAAGAGCTAAGGACAGTGTCCACTACATAACAAGGGTGGAGAACATTGCCTCTTCCTATGGTTCTCCTCTCGTTTTGGGATACTCGTACGGCCAGAGCTGAGAAAGAAAAATGAGCCACACCAGGAAAAGAGCAGAACTTCCAAGGATTAGTGGTGGTCTAAGGAGATAATAATGAGAGCACTTAGGCAGATTCAATTATAGCACAATGCCGTTGGGAGCTATAAAATAAGATTTTCTGGTAGAACAATTTGGTATATGTCAGAAATCAGTTTTACTTTGATAGAATTATAACAACTTCTCTTTTTGAACCTTTTATTTTGAGTTAATAAGAGGTGTAGAAGGACTCAGTCTTAGAGCATGCCTCAACTTTAGAGCACAACACAATTATTAGATAAAAGCAGAATCATGGGGAAGTTGAAAGGATTAGACATTTTGATTGAGGATATATGAGAAGTGGCAGGGAACTCCTGGAACTTCCACATATATTACAAATTTTATTTTTTAGGAGAAGACACATTTAGCTATTTTGAGCTAAAGGAACACTAAAGAAAGTGGGTTTAAAATATGTAGCTTTTGGAGGCACCAAAGATAAGTATTTAGGTTTAACACCACAGGTAAGTGGAGACTGACTATCTTCTTTGTAACTGTGAGGGCCTGAATAGCCATACCTGTCCCCTGGGCTTTTTGCCTAGGAGATGGGAATGTTAGAATGACTGATAAGGTTTAAGGAATCTTCCAATATGCTTTCAACTATTAGTTTTAGTCCCTTTTACCTTCTGGTTTTTGAGGATATTCAAGTTTGGGAAGAGCGCTGCATTGATCAGTTTAAATTTTCATAGTTTGAGCCTCACAGATGCTGCCAGTATCAATGGCATTTGTGTCTAAAAGAAGACTGGCAACTTAGTGATCTTCAGCCTGGGTTTAATTTGGATTCAGGTTTGCTATGATTTTATTATGAGTAGGCAGTTTTCAAGAAGCTGTAAGGAGAGTAGTTATCTAGCCAATACATTTGTATCTTTTTTTCTTAGGTAGCATCTGTGCTAGTCCAGAGGAGCAAAGGATATTTGTTAGTCAGATGTTTCTGGATGGTTATAGGCTAGGATTTGGGGCCATCTATACCTGAGTAAATAATCTAGGGTACTTTTTAATATCATAATTTTTTCCTTTATCAAGTCAGAAAACATGGGTATGATAAATATTAGACATAGGCATTCTCACATCATGTACTTTTCATTTAGCCTCAGTAGGTTCCTTGTCTCTCTCCAAAGGGTAGAAGTCCTGATCTCGTACTCTTACATATAGTAAGAGAACTAAAATCTGTTGTCCTTTATCTTCGGAGCTAGAGACTACCTTCAGAAAGTATTTACAGTGGTACCTTGGTTTATGAACTTAATTTGTTCTACAATTTTGGAAAATATGGCCACGTTTGTGTTTGTGGGGGAAAAATGGCCACAGTTGTGTTTGTCACCCGATGCAATTTGCAAAGAAACACAAAATTTTGTTTCTGTTTGTGAACCAAATTGTTTGCAAACAGAAATGTTCATGAACCAAGGTACCACTATATTTATTCTGCAGCAAGGCTCCTCAGTTTATACTGAGGGTCAGATTTGGCCTGCAGGTGATTTTAATCTGCCTGATGACTTGAACATTTCTGATTTAGGATACCTTTAGATTTGCCACTACTGTTCTGTAGTTTACCACAGGCACCACAGTACCTTATGGCATTACACATTTAGAGGGTCTTACCTTTCTTTTTTTTTTTTTTTGGGGGGGGGTACCAGGGATTGAACTCGGGTCCTTGTGCTTGCGAGGCAGGTGGTGGAACCACTGAGCTAAATCCCCAGCCCCCAGTCTTACCTTTCTTAGTCTTATTGTCTTGTTCTTCATTTACCAGGCTCTGGAAACTGGTTTTAATTTAATTCCATCTTGTACTTTTGTTTGCTTTCTATTCTCCCCTTTCCTCCCACCCCGTATTCTTTCTTTCTGTTGGGAATGAGGTTGGATCTGCACAGCAGTATGGTGAATGGGAAAGGGAAGTTACCAAAAACCCCTGCAGTGGGTCTCAGTCTCCTGTGAGGCACACGACACAAGCTAATAGGAGTAAAGACAGGAGACAAGACTTTGAAAGAAAACTGGGTCTTGAGCTGATCTAAGCTACTCTGGCCAACAAAGACAAAGGGCCTCAAGGACACCTAGTATTTATTGATTATGAGTATAGGAAGAAGGTGAGCAAGGTATGCTTTGAAGACATCTAGTGATATAGTGCCACACATCTGGTGTGATGGTTCCAAGCAGGTGCCTGGAAGAAAAAAAATGGCCAGATGTGTGACTGTACACTGATTCATGGGCCATGGCCAGTGGTCTGACCAGGTGGTCAGGAACTTGGAACATGACTGAAAAATTGGTGACAAAGATATTTGGGGAAGAAATATGTGGGTAGACCTCTCCATATAAGCAAGGGATATAAAAATATTTGTATCCCATGTAAATGCTTACCAAAAAGTGGCCTCACTAGAAGAGAACTTTAATCAAGTGGGTAAGATGACCTGTTCTGTAGATGGAGGCCAACCTCTTTCTTCAGCCACCCCTGTCATTGCCTACTAGGGTCATGAACAGAGTGGCTATGGTGGCAGGGATGGAGGTTATACATGGGCTTAGCAACATGGACTCACAGACTGCCTTATCTACCATCATGAAATTCCACACAGCATTGCCTCTGACCAAGGAACACATGTTACGGCCAAAGATAAGAGGCAGTGGACTCATGGAATTCACTGGTCTTACCATGTTCCTCACCATCCAATAGTGGCTAGATTGATAGAAAGGTAGAAAGGTCTTTTGAAGACACAGGTAAAGTGCCATCTAGGTGGCAATAGCTTGCAGGGTTGGGGCAGCATTCTTCAAAAGGCTGTATATGCTTTGAATCAGCATCCACCATATGGTACTTTGTCACCCATAGTCAGGATTCATAGTCCAGGAATCAAGAGGTAGAAGTGGGAATGGTACCACTCACTATTAACCCTAGTGATCCACTAGCAAAGTTTTTGCTTGCTGTTCCTGTGACCTTTTGCTAGGCTGGCTTAGAAGTCTTAGTTCCAGGGTGGGGGGCAGGCTTGTATCAGGAAGCACAACTATGACACCATTGAACTGGAAGTTAAGACTTCCCCTGGTCGTTTTGGTCTCCTCATGCCTGTGAGTAAACAAGCTAAAAAGGAAGTTACAGTGTTGGCAGGGGTGATTGACCCAGTCTATTAAGGGGAAATTGGTTTATTACTCCACAGTGGAGGAAAAGAAGAATATACTTGGAGCGGAGGAGATCTCTTAGGACTTCTCCTTGTATCACCATGCCCTGTTGTTAAAGTCAGTAGGAAACTACAACAGGCCAATCGAGGCAGAATGACAAATGGTCCAAAATCTTCAGGAATGAAGATATGGGTCACCCCACCAAAGAAAGAACCAAGACCTGCTAACGTGCTCATGAAGGCCAAGGGAATAAGAATGGGTTGTAGAAGAAGGTAGTTCTAAATACCAGCTATCACCCCATGATCAGCAACAGAAAAGAGGATTGTAATTGTAATAGTTCCTGTCTAATATGCTTCCAATGTAATATAATGTTGATAGACTTAACATTGGTTCTTAAATATTGTGAAATCTGTTTATTCAAGTTAGGAAATGTTAGGGGTAAGCATCACC